TCAATAATCTTTATAAATTACTTCTTAAATTTAATTAAACTATCTAATTAATAAATAATTTTTTAACATAGTTCTTAATTTTTTCATTAATTATTATGAAAGGAATTTTTTAAATTTAGGTGAGTACATATTAAAATTATAATAAATATATTTTTTATCATAAATTTATATTAAAAAATAATATTATCTTTTAATTTATGAATTATTTAATTAAATTTATCAATGTGACAATAATACTAAAATTAATATTAATTTTTACGTTTTTCTATATAAATTAATGATAAAATGTGTATCTGAAAGAAAAAATTAAAAAATCTTGATATTTTAAATGTTATGACTTTCTGTAAAATTATTTAAATACTTTTAATGATTTTTTTTTATTTACTAAAGGTACTTTAATCTTTTTATTATCATTTATGATATTTTAATTGCATTTCAAAATCGTTTAAAAAACAATTAAAATGGCAGATATGAAAATGAAAAGATTAAAATACCTTCAATGAATCAATATAAAAAATATTTAATAAAGTTATTTAAATAATTTTACAAAGAGTTTTAAAATTTAAAATATCATATTTGTATCCTAAAAGACACATTTTTATCATTAATTTTAGTGCAATTGTTACGTTGATAAATTTAATTAGATACTTAATAATTTGAAGGTAAATATTTATTCTTTCAATATAAATTTATAATAAAAAAATATATTTATTATACCTTTAATATGCATATTAAGAGTATAAAATAAAAAAATCCTTTTATAATACTCTCTCTATTCATTTTTAATAGATCTGGTTTTTTTATTTATTAAAATAGAGATGTAACAATTTATTAATAAAATTTTATATTAATTCATAATTAAATATCACTTAAATAAAACGTTTTATTTAATATATGTTATAATTACTTTTTTAAATAAGGGTTAATAAGAATAAACACATTAAATGATATCTTAAAAATCAAAAGTAAATAATTAAACTTGCACACACTAAATAAAAAATTAAATCTACCAAATTTGAATTAAAAGATAAATTAATAAGAAAAATAAAGAACATGTTAAAAGAATTTTTATTAATTAAGTTATTTAATTAAATTTAAAAAGTAATTTATAAAGACTATTGAAGTAAAATGTATTATTAATTAAAAAAATCATTATTTTATTAAAAAATACTTGAGGATATATATTATTAATATTAATTAATTAATTTAAAAAATTAATTAATTAAAATTAATTAATTAAAAAATATATATTATTATTAAAAAAAATGAAGTAAAAGCAAAAAAAAAAGAAACAAAGGCGTGCAGATGCAGTGCCACGCAAGCCGATGACAAACGGCGTCAGGAAGCCAGTTAGCGGAAGGGTTGATTTGCACCCATCGTGGGGTTGGAGGGCTTATTTGCCACTTTTTTAGTTCATGGGCTTCTCACTTGCTGTCGAAAAAATTGAGGGGCTTAAGATGGGTTTTTTCCATTAAAATATGTGATTAAAACAGGCATTCTCTCAAACATATTTTATTAATTGTTTGGTTTGAATATCAATCACTTTAGCCACTTTATTGATTCCCATGCATTTCTTGATAAAAGCTCTGGAATCGGCCGACAGGATACATCTTTTGAAAAGAGGATTTTCAAGAAACATCCCTCGTGTTTTCATTGTTCTTGAATTTGCATGTTTCTGTTTTGTACATTGCATTTGGCTCCTCAGCTTGGATGGAGGTTAGAAGAAGAGAAAGAATGGACTCTATGAGACTGACTCCCCTTTGGATAAACAGAAGATCCAAAGCATTAATAGTGATTTGATGCACTCTCTTTTGTAGTCCTTAAATGAAGAAATTATATATTTAAATGAAGATTAAGTGTATAAATTTTATATTATCTGATATAAGATTAATTCTTATATAAATTTTATAATTTTTAACATTTATCATTTGAACATAAATTTTTATTATTTTCAAATGTTTTTCAATCTGATAAAGGATAATCATAATAGCAATACATTTAAAACATAAACTAAATATAAACTCTATTGACATATTATTTTTTTAGTTTCTAACCAATGAAAACTTAGCTTGTTAACTTCTAAAACTTAAATTTATGTTTAAGGTTGGGTGGGTTTAGTGAAACAAAAATTTCCTCTCTATACAAAATACACATATTTCCAATTCTTTGACCGAGAGAGAAGGCAATTGCATAGGTATTACAAATATAAAGACTAAAACGTATAATGACATAGAAGTTTAAGGAAGACAACAAATTAGAGCTCAAAGGGGGGACTAAAATGCGAAGAAACCCAATCATAAAATAAAGAAATATAAAAGCAAGTACGCATCAACATCATACAACTTTGTTGCATTCCCTACCCACCGAACTTCATCGGAATCTTCTGTTTGTAGTTCATGCGTTGCAGGTTACACTATACCCCATTTGTAGTTTTATATTATATTGACTCTGACAACCTACCCTTTGACCAGCCTGAATCGTCCCGTGACTCGGCCAGATCCGAACTCGTTATCCAACTCAGTTCAGGGTAGCATATCTGCTAACACCTCCTTTATTATCACCTTCCCTCTCGACGCATCACCGGTAATGTCTCCCTTTTGGGCACAAGATGCCCTGCACCGTGGGACCTCCTTCTGCCACGGTCTGATGAAAATCATGCTCTGTAAGAAACTCGAGAAAACAGAGTTTCTGACTGGTTCTATGGAACTGTTCTCAATTGCCGTGACAATTTCTAAAATTGAAGGTCGGAGGGTTTCGTCGGACGACAGACAACGTGCCGCCATAGATAACAATCGCCTTACGGTGCTCAGCATGTCCGCCGGTAATGGAGTTCTGGGGTCACAGATTTCCACTATCCTCTGTTTTTCAATCAACGGAATCGCCCATTCAACCACCGGTGCCGGCGCCTTTGTAATATCGATTGCCTTTCTCCCGCTTATAATCTCTAGCAAAACCACGCCGCAACTATACACGTCGGTGTTGGTGCTTAATTTCTCCGGTGTAATGTACAACGGATCCAAATACCCGACTGTCCCTGCCGGCAGAAACGGGTCGGGTCCCGGCGAGACTGCAAGTCCAAAATCGGCTAACTTTACGTCCCAATTCGAATCGAACAGAATATTTGCGGGTTTGATGTCTCTGTGGATCACCGGAGGATTCCTTTCGTGAAGGAACTTAACCGCCCGCGCAACCTGCAGAGCCACCTCCAACCGTTTAGGCCACGGCGGAGGAGTGGCGGCGACATGAAGCAACTCATACAGGGACCCGTTTGGCAAGAACTCCATTACCAATACCCTGTTTTGCCTCTCACCCAAATCATGACTTGCTCCAAGAAATTTAACGATATGAGAACTTTCAGGTAAAGATGACAACACAGAAATCTCGTTTTCAAGCTTCTTTAAGTTGTCGTTATGAGCCTGATCAACACCATTGATGGATGTTCTCTTTATGGCGACGAGCTTATTATCCTGAAGGATGCCCTTATATACCGTGCCATGACTGCCTTTTCCGATGAGTCTTGACGGCGAGAAACCTTCTGTTGCCTTTACAAGTTCTTGGTAATCAAACTCAACAATTTCCTTGCCATCGACCATCATCTTCTTTCCCTTGCTTAGTTGGAGGGAAAATGGTTTTCTTGGGGTTGAATGTGCAAAAAGGAATAGGTGGTATCGAAGCCAGAGAATAAAGGGGTTTTGGGAGACATCAAAAGGAAAGAATTATAATGGAGAAATTATTGAAAGGAGGAAAAGCTAGAGCAAAGCTAAGGGCACGTTTGTTTTTGGGGAAGTTGGAACCCTTTACAGAATTGTTTAACCGGAAGCTAAGGGAACGTTTGTTTTCCAGAAATTTAGAACCTTATTAAAGGAAGTTTTGCCGGATTGCCAACTTCCTTTGGTTTTCTGAAATTTGTGTGTTTCACTTATCCGAGGAAGTAACAACTACTAAAATTCAAACAGCCATCTAACTAATACTAACTATTACTGCTACTGTATGGGGATAAAATTTTCTTACCAAACTCTACCGGTGTAGTTTTTAGGATTAACTACTATTGTTTTTTTTTTTTTTTTGTTGCAAAATAATATACGTTATTTTATTTTATTTTCAGATTAAGAATTTAAAATAAAATTAATTTTTATCTATTTTACTTTTAAAAATAAATAAAAAATTTATTTTAATCAAAGAATAAATTATTAAAATTTAAAAATAATCATGAAATTAAAATAAAAAATATTTATTCCCCTTAAAATAGAAGAAAAAAAGTATTATTTTAAAAATAATTTAAATAAAAAAAATTTATTATTTTGAGATAGAAAAAATAACAATTAATACATGTGAGAAGTAAAATTTTTCTATAAACAAACGGTCCTTAAAGAGAAGAAAAGGATTGGAGATAAAGTAGAGGAAGTCCTAGTTAAAAGATAAATTCTCTGACGAGGAGGGTGATGAAATTCTGCTCCATTGGGAGGTTATTGGGTCCCCCCACCATTTTTTTTACAAAGTTTGAGTGTAATGTGATATTTTTTTTAACTAACATTAACATTACATAATTGAAAATGGTGGTGTCATAGGGGAAATTCTTTTATATTATATTTTATATAATTTTTATATGTTATTAAATGAGTGAATATTTTTAATATTATAGATTTCATATGAATTAAAACATCAATAATTTAAATAACATGTAAAATTATATAAAAAAATGAGTTAAAAAATTGTATAAAAGTCATTTTCCAATTGAAAACCATAACGTTGAGAGCAGGTCCAATCACGTTGATAATTACCATTCTCAACTACCTCAGAATGGTAATTATCTTAATTTTTTTA